AACCAAACCCAGGACTGTCAGGTCTGCAGGCCGACACTCCAACCGCTAAGCCAAACTGGCCAGGGCGACATGCAGATCTTTTTTAAAAAACTGATTTTAGAAAAACATCAATTTATTATTTCACTTGTTTATGCATTCATTGGTTGATTCTTTTTTTTTTAATCCTCACCCGAGGATATTTTTTCTTAGGTAGAGTGGCAGGGAGGGAGGGGGAGAGAGAGAGAGAAACATCGATGTGAGAGAGACACATCGATTGGTTGCCCCCTGCATGACCCCAACTGGAGCAGGGGACTCAAAGCTGCAACCCAGGTATGTGCTTTTGACTGGGAAGGAATCAAACCCATGACCCTTTGGTCTGCTGGCTGACCTCGTTTAACCACAGCAAAACCAGCCAGGGCCATTGGCTGATTCTTGTATGTGCCCTGACTAAAGATCAAACACACAACCTTGGCATATTGGGACAACGCTCTAACAAGCTGAGCCACCCAACGGGCAGAGCTTATTGAGGTATTGCTGTCACACTGGTTATTTATCCAGTCGGTATGTGCTTTTTTGTCATGCATTTTCTGGAAAAAAGAAAGTAGCTAAAAACATTATTGATAATAGCTCTCCAGACCGACAAGGCGTTATCTGACATTTTGATGAGAGCCAGTTTGGGCCGCGACCTCAGGACTTTGCCTCTCAGACAGTGTTGGTCTGATCCCAGACACTTGAAATTGTGAATAGTCCAGTCCAGAGAGCCTATCGCAGCTTTTGACAGAAAATTAGATATTCTGGAACTGAGCTACATGGCCACAAATTTCCTGTGGTGCATCCACACTCTGCTATTGCTTTGTCATGTGCCCAGTGGCACAGGCGATGAATGTGATAGCATTTGGGAGAAGGAAAAGAACAATGTTCACTATAAAGAGCCTCCTACCCAAGGATGGACTCCTTGCTGGGGACCCGTTTGCCAGCCGAGACCGTGAGTGTCCACCTATCTGCCTAGTTGGAACATAAACTCACAGAAGATTCCGGTCTCTTCTCACAGTGCAGTATTAAATGTCATACCTGGTTTAATATTCTGACCAACTGTGAATGTTCATAGACTGCAGCCCTAGGTGACTGGGTATCAATGTTTCAGAACTCAAAATATAGCTGTAGTCTAACTGCATCCAACTGGATTTGACTTTTCTTTGATTCCGTGGACGTAGCAGGTCCCAGAGGGCCTCGGTCATCTGGAGCAGGGGACTCAAAGCTGCAACCCAGGTATGTTCCCTTGACTGGGAAGGAATCAAACCCATGACCCTTCGGTGAGTTGTCATGATCTGAGTAGCTGCAGTACAAAGTGCCAAAGAGGAGACCTGTTTCCTTCCTGGCCCTGCAACACTCTGGAGAATGTGTTTTCTTTATATTAAACCTCTGATACCAACTTGCTCATTTTTTTTTTGTTGCTTCTCACACAAGCAGAAGGCAGATTATGAAACAACTTGTCTCTTTTTGTTGTTTTCTGGTGGCTTTGATTTTGCACAAAGGAGAGTTTAGAGCACACTTTGGGAGCTTCAGTCAAGTGCCTGCTTTTGAGTGGTTCTGGAGCTGTTCTACCAAATGGTAAATTTGTTCAGTTTCTCTTGTATTCTTCAAAGAAATTTTCAAGAGTTTGTAAGAGAGTTTGCACTGGAGAGGCTGCTGAGTGAACTCTTTTGCAACTGCAGAAACAACTTTGGCTCCAAATGGAAAGGGAATTAAGCACCTAGGACTGGTGAGACATTAAAACAGTTATTATAGCCCAGCCTGTGTGGCTCAGTGCATTGAGCGTTGTCCTATGGACTGTGAGGTCCCAGTTCAATTTCTGGTCAGGGCACGTGCCCGGGTTGTGATCTCGATCCCCAGTAGGGGGTGTGCAGGAGGCAGCTGATCAATGTTTCTGTCCCTCTGTAAAAAATCAATAAAAACATTTTTTTAAAAAAACAAAAAACAGTTATTACAACTGTATTCCTTATGTTCAAAAGTTTAGTGGAGACATGGAAGTTAAAAATAGACCCAAATCAAATTTCTAGAGATGAAGACTACAATATGTGAGATGAAAAATACATAGCAGTAGAAACTATCCAAAATGAAACAAAGAAAAATTAAAAAAAAAAAGTGGAAAGAGCATAAGTGAGCTGTGGGTAACTTAAGGTGGACTAATATGTGTGTAATTGGAGTCTCCTAAGGGAGAAGGAGAGTTAACAAAAAAAATTTGAAGAATTTTTGAATGAAGAAATAATGACTGCACATTTTTCAGATTTGATGAGAACGCTAAGCCCTTAGATCCAGAAAGCTCAGAGAAGCCCAGGCACAGGAAACATGGAGGAAACTAACCCAAAGCATTTCATAATCCAAACTGCTCACAACCAGTGATACAATAAAATCATAAAAGCAGCCAGAAAAAAGGGCACATTACAGGCAGATGAACAAACATGAAGGTGACAGCAGATTTATGGTCAGAAACTATGAGTGAGAACACAGTGGTGCAAACCTTTAGAGAGGGTGGGGAGGGCGGGCAGAGGAAGCAAACTGCCAGCCAACAAAAATATTTCTCAAAAACAAAGCCTTCTTCAGACACCGTGACTGAAGGAAATCGCCATCAGCAGAACTGCACTGTAAGAAATGTTAAAGGACCCCCTCTGGGGAAGGAGGGACATGATGCCAGAAGGAAACATGAACCTACACAGAGGAATGAAGAGCACCGGAAGTCACGGCTGTATCGGTGACAGCGTTTCCCCACTATTTCAGTGTCTTTAAAAGATGATTGACTATTTCAACAAAAATAATAACCATGGAGGGTGGGATATGGTTATCACCTGCGAAACAGTAAAATGTATAGAATAAGAGAATAAAGACTGGAAAGAGGGAAATAGAAATATGTGATTAAAAAGGTGTTATATGTGCAATGATTTAATAACTTTTGAAGTAGATTGTGTTAAGTGAAACCTTAAAGGCAACCACCAACAGTTAGTTAGGCTCAATACTTCAGTAAATGAACAGGCAGACAGTGGTCGGCAAGGATGAGGAACCTCGTAACAGCCTAGGCGATTTGTAAATAAAATGTCTTTATTTAGCTATTTCTTACAAACATATTCTTACTACGCAAACCACCAGTTATGCTTCTTGGTGTAACTATGTCCACGTAAGACCTGTGCATGAATGTTTACAGTAGCTTTATTCACAATTGCCCAAACTCGGAAGCAAGATGATACCTTTGAATAGATTAGTGGGTAAGTGGATTATTATTTAGCAGCAAAAAGGAATGAACAATCAGGCCACAAAGGGACATGAAGGGACCTTAACTAGTATTGCTAAGTGAAAGAAGCCAGTCTGAAAAAGGTGATATACTGCATGATTGCAGCTATATGACATTCTGGAAAAGGCAAAACGTCAGAGACAGTAGAAATGAGTGGTCACCGGGGTTCTGGGAGGAGGGGACGTAGGGATCAATAGGTGAGGCGTGGGGCGTTTTTAGGGTGGTGAATCTATTGTGTACAACACGGTAATGGTGGATACTTGACATTATCAAAGCATTTGCCAAAACTCAGAACTGCACACCACAAACAGTGAACCCGAAGGTAAACTATGGACTTGAGTTGATAAAAATAAAACAAACTAAAACTACAACAACAAAAATATTGACGCACTGACAAAATGTAGTTTGTTACGTGCCACCCTTACCCCCATAAAGCTGTTAAGGCATCAAAGTCTTCAGCTGAGGCGCACCGGCAGAGCGGTACCTCTGGGCTCGCGGCCGTGTCCTGCATTCCTGGCTCCTTGGGCGGAGAGGCGGCCTCTCCTTCCCGGGCAGTGCAGTCACCTCCCCACCTGCCATGACTTTCTGCAGCCCGGAGGGGCTGTCACCTTTAAGAGCAACTTGGATGAGCTAATCTGAAAAGGATGTATGTGAGACTTTGGGTCACTTTCTGATGTTTGTAGTGTGTCTAACCCTCTTCTGGAGTGGTATTCACTCTGAAAATCAGCGACTAATCCAAAGGCCTGGATTCTGGTTCCTGTGGTCCCAGTAACTGACCTTCAGGTTTGGGTTTGGGGCAGGTCACTTCCTTTACCATGGCAGACCTCAGCTTCTGCATCTGTGCAGTGAGTGGGTTTTCCAGGGTCTCTTTCTGGCCCCTGCCAGCTGCAGACCCCATTTCTGTCAATAGTAACCCTCACACTCTTACCGTGAGAGGGATGTGTGTGTACGTGTATCTCGGGCACTTGGTGCCGCAGAAGCCTCATTTGGTACAAAGGCACCAGAGCCCCTCCGCACAGACTTCTCTCTGCCTCTGGTGGGTAGAGCCCTGAGTCCGACTTGCTCTAGCCCAGTTGCCCAGAGCAGGGCAGAGGCTGCAGCCGCTGCTCTCAGCATTATTGTTTTTTAGCCTTTCATACATCCTAGCCCTGAAACCCTCTGGGCTGAGACTTCTTCTCCATTGCAAAGAAAAGTCCACAAATGAAGTTCTGGGTGTTTTTCTAGCCCAGAACTGAGAGGTGGTCCGTGGTATGATTGTTACCCCAAACTCTGAGGCTGAGAGTTGGAAGATTTTCCTTGTAACTGAGCCTCCTGAGAGCATCTAAAAATGTTTTTATGTTCCATTGGTTAAGTGTGTAATTTGAGATAGAAAATATTCTTTAGCTAGTATTGCTCTGTGGGCCTAACTTTATTTACCTTTAAAATTCTTCAAGGACCTTGGGACATACATTGATTGAGAAGCTCTGCTCATTTTGAATGGGGCCATGGTGATCAAGTTCTCAAGCTGGATATCAAAAATCAAGGGTGCTTTGTAGATAGTTAGGGGCCGCGTTCATCTGTAACTTACGGACGCTCTTTTTAATGTTCCATTTGTCCTTAAAGAGAGAAGACAGAGAATCTGCTTCTCTGACCGTTTGTGATCCCACCTTCTAGAGCAGTAGTTTAAAATTCAAGTCCCATGAAAAGCAACTCACCCAGTTTTTCTGTTTCTTTCTTTTTTCCTTTTTCTTTTTAGGACTTTGTTTAGAGAAATTGCCTATTTCCTCTTCTACCAGTAATCTCCATGTGGACCGGGAGCAGGATGTCATCACCTGTTATGAGAAAGCAGGTGACATTGCCCTCCTGTACCTCCAAGAGATAGAAAGGGTAAGTGAGGACCATGTGTTTGTTCCAGCGGACAGTTGTTTTTAAATTTCAAATCAAATTGTAGAGAACGGTGGTCAACCACTGGAAAGCCTTCAACCTGTCTGCCTCTGGGCACACAGTTCTTCCTACTGTCTTCTTACTCAGATGCCTAGGGACTCTGGTGGTGACTGAGGGGTCCTGTGAAAATAGGTGGGTCAGTGTTTGGGAGGCATTTGAACATCCTCCGAGCAGAAATGACAGTGTGCATATGCCCTTAGCACCCTGAAGCTGGCTAATTATTTCCGTCCTCCTTCGCAAAGTGGTTGGTCTTCATTTGTACTTGCGTGGACTGTATGTCAGCACAGTGTACATCTGGGTTTGGGAGGCGTAACCTCGTTGGTTACGCCAGAGGTCTGCTGGGGACTCATCCGACCTGCTTGGAGCAGGTTGTGTATCCCCTGAGGCCATCTGGGATGGTTTCTCCCAGCAGTCACTGGTTTGCCTGTGGTGTGGGGAATGGAGGCCAGCAGCTGACAGCAGGGCCACCTGACCAGAGAAGGGGTGAGCCAGAGACCCTGAGCCCACACCCTCAGGCGGAGGAATCAGGAGGCAGGGTGGGGCTGGGGAGGTGTGTGTCCTGTGTCTGTTTAGAAGGACGCTGTCTTTGGCTCTGCTCCTTACTGAGTTCCTTCACTTCTCAGCCTCAGTTTTCCCGTCTGTAAGAGGGGCATACTAATGGTTCCTACTTCATGGCATTCTTGTGGGGATTATAAAAGGCCATGTAAACAAGGCTGTTAGCCCAGGAGTCTTGGTAAATGTCACTGATTTATACTGACAGCAACAGCTGCGAGCCGTCTGCCCCCAGCAGAGTTTTCTGGAGTTCTAACCACGGCTTGACACCGAAAGTTCCCCCTCAGACCCGGAGCTGCATACTGTGAGAGATGTGGGAATGGTCAGAAATCCTGTGACACTTTGAAAAGGACCACAGCCTTGCCTCCCATCAATGCTGTGGGTTCTCTGTCTCCCTGAGGTTAGAACAGAGAGGGACTACCAGAGTCTCATTAGTGTTTGTTATTTGATAAGTGTACAGACTGGAAGTAATTTTTCTTATAAATCTTTTGTATGTCAATGTGTGATGGGGATCAGAATTGCCTGTAAGAGGCAGGGAGCATAGGGTGAGAGCCACCAAGAGAGGAGGTGATGAGACCCTGGGCTGTACAAAATGGGTTATAAATCATAGTTGGACATGTCTGGGAGTTCAGGAAGATATTGGACCATCTTGCCAAAATGTTTTATCTGAAGGCTGCTATGAGAAAGGAATTTTTTTGCAATTTTTACTAATTTATTTTTATTACAGATGTTTCTCCTTTCCCCCCCTAGACACCCTCCTCCTGATGCCCCCCTCAGCATCATTATCTATGTCCATTGGTTATGCATACGTGCATATAAGTTCTTCGGTTTATCTCATCCCTCCCCCCTACACTCCTTCTCTGAGGTTTGTCAGTCTGAACCCTACTCCTTTCTATGTCTCTGGGTCTATTTTGTTCATCAACTTATTTTATTCATTATATTCCACAGATAAGTGAGATCATGTGGTATTTGTCTTTCTCTGATTGGCTTAGCATAATACTCTCCAGGTCCCTCCATGTCGTCTCAAAGGATATAAGATCGTTCTTTCTTACGGCTGCATAGTACTCCATTGTGTATATGTACCACTGCTTTTTTATCCACTCGTCTACCGATGGACACTTGGGCTATTTCCAGATCTTAGCAATTGTAAATAGTGCTGCTATGAACATCTATTCTTTCTGATTGGTGTTTCAGGCTTCTTAGGGTATATTCCTAGAACTGGGATCACTGGGTTAAATGGCAGTTTAATTTTTAATTTTTTTTGAGGTAACACCATATTGTTTTCCATGGCGGCTGCACCAGTCTGCATTCCCACCAGCAGTGTACTAGAGTCCCCTTTTCTCCACACCCTCGCCAACATTTGTTGTTTGATGATTTGTTGATGGCAGCCATTCTGACAGGTGTGAGGTGATACCTCATAGTTGTTTTAATTTGCGTCGCTCTGATGATTAGTGATGTTGAACATTTTTCATAGTCTCTTGGCCATTTGTATGTCCTGTTTGGAGAGGTGTCTATTTAGGTTCTCTGCCCATTTTTTAAATTGGGTTCTTTATCTTCCTTTTGTTGAGTTGTATGAGCACTCTATATATATTGGAAATTAACCCCTTATCTGATATATCAATGGCAGTTATGCTCTCCCATATAGTGGGTTGCCTTTCCATTTTGACAGTTGTTTCTTTTGCTGTGAAGAAGCTTTTTAATTTGATATAGTCCCATTTATTATTTTTTTCATTTGTTTCTCTTGCCTTAGGCATTGTATCATTGAAAATTCTGCTGCGTGTGATGTCTGAAATTTTGTTGCCTACATTTTCTTCTAGGATTTTTATGGATTCACGAGTCACATTTAAGTCTTTTATCCATTTTGAGTTTATTCTTGTGTATGGTGTAAGTTGGTTGTCTAGTTTAATTTTTTTGCAGGTAGCTGTCCAATTTTCCCAACACCGTTTATTAAAGAGGCTGTCTTTACTCCATTGTATGTTCTTGCCACCTTTGTCAAATATTAATTGAACATAATGTCTTGGGTCAATTTCTGGGTTCTCTGTTCTGTTCCACTGGTCTATATGCCTCTTCTTGTGCCATTATCAGGCTGTTTTGATTACAGTGGCTTTGTAGTTAACCTGATATCCAGTATTGTGATCCCTCCTACTTTGTTTCTCAAGATTGCTGTGGCTATTCGAGGTCTTTTTTTGGTTCCATATAAACTTTTGAAGTACGTATTTGTTCTAGTTCTGTGAAATATGTCATTGGTATTTTAATGGGGATTGCATTGAATCTGTAGATTGTTTGGGGTACTATGGACATTTTAGTGATGTTAATTCTTCCAATCCATGAACAAGGTATATGCTTCTACTTTTTTATATCTTCCGATAGTTCTTTTTGCAGTGTCCTGTAGTTTTCTGCAAATAGATCCTTCTTTGGCTAAGTTTATTCTTAGGTATCTTAATTTTTTTTTTTTCTTTTGCCACAATTGTAAATGTGATTGCTTTTTAGTTTCTCTTTCTGTGTGTTCATTGTTGGTGTATAAGAATGCCATCGATTTCTTGATGTTAATTTTGTGTCCTGCTACTTTGCCAAATTCATTTATTAAATTTAGTAGATTTTTGATGGAGTCTTTAGGATTTTCTATGTACAATATCATGTCATCTGCAAATAATGACAGTTTACTTCCTCTTTGCCAACTTGGATCCCTTTTATTTTTCCTTCTTGTCTAATTGCTGTGGCTAAGACTTCCAGTACTATGTTAAATAAGAGTGGCTAAAGTGGGCATCCCTGTCTTGTTCCTGTTCTTAAGGGAAATGCTTTTCATTTTTGCCCATTGAGTATGATGTTGGCTGTAGATTTTTCATATATGGCCTTTATTATGTTGAGATATAATCTCTCTAGTCCCACATTGCTGAGCCTTTTTATCAGAAATGGATGCTGGATTTTGCATTTTCAGCGTCTATTGATATGATCGTATGGTTTTTATCTTTCATTTTGTTTATGTGATTGATCACATTTATTGATTTGCAAATATTGTACAAGTCTTGCATCCCTGGGATCAATCCCACTTGGTCATGGTGAATAATTTTTTAATGTATTGCTGGATCCAATTTGCTAATATTTTTTAAGGATTTTGGCATCTATGTTCATCAGGGATATTGGCCTGTTGTTTTCTTACTTTGTAGTGTCTTTATCTGGTTCTGGAATTAGAATTATGCTGGCCTCATAAAACAAGTTTGGAAGTCTTCCTTGTTCTTGAATTTTTTGGAATAGTTTGAGGAGAATGGGTGTTAGTTCTTCTTTGAATGTTTGGTAAAACTCCCTGATAGATAGTTTTCTATCTCTTCCCGGTTCAGTTTAGGGAGACTATGTGTTTCTAGAAATTTGTCCATTTCACCTAGATTGTTCAATTTGTTGGTGTATAATTCTTCATAGTATTTGTTAGCAATCCTTTGTATTTCTGTGGTGTCAGTTGTTACTTCTCCTCTTTCATTTCTGATTTTGTTTACTTGGGTTCTCTCTCTTTGTCTCTTGGTGAGTCTAGCTAAGGGTTAATCAATCTTGTTTAGCTTTTCACAGGACCAGCTCTTTGTTTCATTGATCTTTTGAATTTTTTTTAGTCTCTATGTTGTTTATTTCTGCCCTGATCTTTACTATTTATTTCCTTCTACTTGCTCTGGATTTTTCTTTTTGTTTGCTTTCTAGTTCTTTAAGTTGTGAGGTTAGATAGTCAATTAGAAATTTTTCTTTTTATTTTTTCTTTTTATTCTTACCCAAGGACATTTTTGCATTTATCTTCAGATGGAGTGGGAAGGAGAGAAGGAGGAAGAGAGAGAGAAACATCGATGTGAGAGAGACACATTGAGTGGCTGCCACCTGCATGACCCCAATTGAGGCCAGGGACAAACTGCAACCAAGGTATGTGCCTTTGGCGGGAACTGAACCCAGGACTCTCTGGTCCACAGACCAATGCTCTAACCGCTGAGCCAAACCAGCCAGGGCTAGAAATTTTTTCTGTTTCTTTAGGTAGTCCTGTACTGCTATGAACCTCCCTCTCAGGACTGCTTTCGCTGCATCCCATAGATTTTGTGTTGTTGTATGTTCATTTTCATTGGTTTCCAGGAAGTTTTTAATTTCTTCCTTGATCTTCTTGGTAACCCATTCATTGTTAAATAACATGCTATTTAGCCTCCATGTGTTTAAATGTTTTTTCGTGTTTTTGTTGTAATTGATTTCTAGTTTCATGCCATTGTGATCTGAGAAGATGCCTGATATGATTTCAATCTTCTTGAACTTGTAGAGACTTAGTTTATGTCCTAACATGTGGTCTCTCTTTGAGAATGTCCCATGTGCACTTGAGAAGAATGTGAATTCTGCAGTTTTGGGGTGTAATTCTTTATAGATATCTA